ATATATTAGAAATTTACTTTAGTGGCCTCAATAGTTAAACTGCGTCCCTTTCACTTTGCAAAATACAGATTCAATGATCATGATACTCAATTCTTGCTAAAAAACATGAGGATGGGATTATAGAAGTATCTTTCTGCTTGGAGTTGGATACGTTTTTAGAGAAAGAAATTCTAAATGTCTCTAAAACATACTTTCCAACCCACAGATATATTTAAGTTTACAAAGACCTATTGTAGGGATTAATTTGGATTTTTTTTTTTTTTGGATGTATTCTTTTGAAAACTGCATAGCCAAGTACTATGCAATCCATGTAAATTGACCTTGCTATTTTACATAGCATAGCCTCTGGATAGCTTTTATCACTTGCCCAGATGGTGTTTGGCCTATGTATTTTAGTGGAATGGTTTATTTTCTCCTTGATAGGTTTCAAATGCACAAGAAAACATTATACCCGTCTATCTGCATTTGAGTAGAATACAAACTGACTAATAGATAAACATTCTGTGTGAAAGTAAATAGCCTTAAAGTATACTGCCTTCACATTCCATTGATCAGCTCAGTCAGCAACGTTTTCCATGTTGTCACTAATGTTCTAAATATTTTGGAGAGAAACATGACAGAAGTGTAGAGTATTTCCATTTGTGTCACATATAAGGTCATTACGAACTACCTCTTGAATTTCTATTGATCCCAATACTGAAGTAGTTTCCTCATTTCCTTTTCGTCCCTGTTGGAAATGTTATTACAGTTGGGAAAAAAGGAATTAGGGTCTGTTAAGTGGACTGGCTCAATCTCCTGGCCAGACGGCGAGGGATTTGGACTGGCTCATTACCTTACCTTCATTAGTAGCCTTCTCCAAATTCTTAGCAGTCAAAAAGAGGCCAAGAGTATGAAGCCCGATTACTTAGTTGTACTGTCACCGATCGCACACATTCACTTCTGAGGATGTACCCCCCCACACACCAAGTTCCAGAATGGATGGTCAGAAAAGAGCTCATTATTGGGCTAGCCCATAGAGGAGCTCATAATGCCGCTATGCAGAATCAAAGACTCACAGGAGACCACTGTCTACTCAAAGGTCAGCCTTATCTCCTCTAACAGATCTTCATTTCTTCAACATGCCCAATTTCCTAAGAGATCAAATCTCGGGATTTTGTGAGGCTAAATGAAAATCACACACGTCTTCAGCTTCTGCCTAAATACATAGATTTTTGACCACTCATATCTCAAACTCATTTTTAAGTCACTCAATAGCTCTAATTTTTAAGTCATTTAAAGCTAAAAGCCAAGTTGTATGACTTCAATTCATTTTCCGTTTTATAAATGAGTGTAAAACACAATAGTGCAGTCATATATTTGGCATTAAGTCTTACCAGCCACAAAAAAAAATGTGGGTCAATATTGGATTTTCCAAAGTTGTCTAAATAAGACTGGGTTTGTCAAAACTTGCCAGATGCTTTCAAGTGAACACAGCATGTTGGTGGATATGAAATGTAATATCTAAAAGACAGAAAATAGGTCAGCACTGTGCAAAAGTAAACTTGTCAGTGAGATCAATATGAACCTATTAATGTGTATATTAGAATTTCCTTACAACAAGGGATGTGCAGGGTAGACCCAGAACACGACTGTAGCATTTATTCACTTGTGAAAAGCAGAGGACATACTTAAGTATTATTTTTTGTATCCTTAATGAAAGGCACTGCTTTTTAATACATTATATTTAAGCACAGTTTTAATTGATAGAGTATCATAGTAAATTAAATTCTGGTTCATTTGCTCAGTTTTTAGCAACATGAAAGATAAAAATGGGGACTAATGATCAAGCATGATAAAATTTCAGAAATATGAAATCCTCATTAGCTTTCTCTATGTTAAGTGTTTCAGAGAATTGAACATCATGGATGAGATCGGTAAAAATTTTTGAAGCAAAAAAAAATAACAGAAAGACCTTTCTTGGGGCTTCTCATTGCATTTATTTAAATTTTTAAAAAATGTACATCATTTATTGAATACATAAAATGCCAGTGCTTTGCAACAGCTTTGTTACTGCATCTCTAAACTAAAAAGGAAGAGGGGAAAAAACCAGGAAAAATACATTCAAAAAGCCAGGCTGTTCTGCTTATACATGGGCAGTGGCTTTGGAAAGCTACAGCCTGCACGGTGACTCTTCAGAGGCATTGCCGAACATCAGCCAGCTATCAATGAAAAGTTGCACATAAAGCATTAAAGGATACAAAGAACAACTTGGTGGGGAGCAGGAGAGGAATGGGAAATTAAGAAAAATGCCACATATGCCATGAAGGGGGTTGTAGACTGAGCTGGAAGTAAGCATAAAGACCGATGTTTGTGGAAACTAGATTTATGGGGAAAGATGGAAGAAAACAAAGTAGTATGTTTGGCAAGCAATATTGCAGCGTGTGTGTCCACTTCCAATTTTCTACTTTACTTTCCAGGAGAAATGTAACAAAACTGAGGTAGAAATAAACAGGGGAGCACT